ACGTGCCTATTGAAAAAATGACGTTTCTTTCCCAGAAAAAGTCATATTTTCAAAAGATCTATTCACAAATCGTTGGACATTCAGGTCAAATCGTTGAACAAATCAGGCGGAAAAGCAAAGCTTGGTGAAAACAATGGTACAGTAATGGTACTGCAATTATATTCAACTAATAATCCAAATTAAAAGATCTTTACCGGCTAGACTATTAGACTTACAGTACTTTTACTTATTCAGTTTGTGTTTTTTTTTTTTACACAAAAACTCTTTGAGCTAAAGTCAGCTTCAAAAGTGACGTGCCTATTGAAAAAATGACGTTTCTTTCCCAGAAAATGTCATATTTTGTCAAAAGATCTATTCACAAATTTGCCAAATCCGAGGTGGAGAAACATTTTTTTTTGAAAACTTTCGCCGAAAATCACAACGAAAGAAAAGGAAGAGAGAGAGCATTGAAAAAGAGCGAAAAAAGAGCGAAAAAATCGAGAGATTTCGAAGAAAATGACTCATAGATTGGGGAAATCGAAAAAATTTTGGGAAATTTTCGAGTTTAAGAGGAAGTTGTTGTTGTTGAATTTGGTGTTGGGAAGCGAATTTTTATAGGGAATCAAAAGTTTTGTTAGCACCGCCCCAAAAATAGGCGAACACTTAGGAAATTCCACGAACACCAAGAGTGGGAAAACGAAATTCAAATTTGAGCATTTTTTTTTTTGGAAATATAGCTTGACTCATCATTTTGATTTTTTTGAAGAAATGATATCATTTTGATTGGGATCAAGACCGGGGAAGAAGCTTTTGTCGAGGAAGATCTTTGATGGAACACAGTGCTGGCTTAGGAACACTGGAACAAGAAACCTTGACTACTTGCTTATTGTTAGAGTAAGGTTTTGTATAATCTTGGTGCTGTCCAGAGTTAAATCTTGGCATGGCTTCACTTCAGCCTTTCTGGATTTAATGAAGACCTGGCTCACCTAAAAAGCTCCGAGCCCAGGCTATACAGCTTTTTGTAGAAAACGAGTCAACTCCACGTTTTAGCAAACAGCTTTTGTTTTCTAAAGCGTGGATACAATGCTATTTCGAGCTTTAGAAAACAAAAGCTATTTGCTAAAAAGTGGAAATGACTCGTTTTCTGCAAAAGACCCTGACTCTAGCCCGGTCTTTGAAGGATTGCTAGAACCAGCATTGTTTGTAAAAGCAGCTCTGAACTAAACTGAGCTAACTAGTTGAACCAGCTTTAAACCTAAACCAATTTCTAGCTAAATGGCGTGGCTTACAAGCCCTAGGATCCGGTTGGAACATCCCTGGTGGCTTGGGATTTAGCTAGTTCAAAATTTATAACTAGACCAGAGCAAAAGGCTAGCCACACATGAAACATGAAAAAGGTTAGGCGTCACCTGACCAGGGCTAAAATTTTTCAATAGCTCTGGTCTATTTCTTGACTGAAAAGTCGGCTCAATGTACAATTTCACTATATACAGTCAAATCTCGTTAGTAAATAACTCAAGAGAAATCGAAAAATCTATTTACTATCGAGATTTTGACCCAGTTTGTCTCTAAAATGCTCTAAACACCTTGAATAAGCTTCAGTATAACTCTTGGTTGGTAATCAAATAACAAAATTCTTAATTGCAGCAACTTTTAACAACTGAAGAGTCGTTATTAAAGTTTATTGGAGGGAAAATTGATAAGGCTATTTCGTCCATAGACCGTAATCTAGCTGTTAAAAAGTCTGCATCAAGATTCAAGAAATCGGTAAGCGATCCTCTGCTACATTCTCTGCTACATTCTCTGCTACATTCTCTGCTACATTCTCTGCTATATCATCTGCTATATCATCTGCTACATCCCCTGCTACATCCTCTGCTACATCAAGTCGTTTCCATCACTTTGTTGCGAAGAATTGATTGAATCGTTTGATACGGCAAGCTCAGCGTCGTCTTTAACTGTAATTCCGGCTTTTCGAAAGCAATTTGCAATGGTTTCTTGTTTAACGCTCATCCAAGCACGGTTTGCAGTGTGTAGAGCATCGAGAAGATCAAATTTGAAGTCCACTGATGATCGATAGCCAAAATTCGTCGACGAAGTAGCATTGCGCGGTAATGAACCTTAAAGTTCTGGATGATTCCCTGATCGTAAGAGTCGTAAGAGCTTTTTCAATAGCATCGTTTTGTTCACCTCGCACTCGAGTCCTTTCCTTTGTCGTTCCCTCATCGATTCCTTGCAATATCGTTTCTTTATTGCGACGAATCGTTTGATATGGCAAACTAAACTCTTTGGCCAATTGAGCTGGCTTGATCCGTTTATCTTTCACAATGAGATCCCTTTTGACATCGAAAGAAATCAAACGTTTCATCATATTCTATCTGAAAAAAGAAAGATAAGCCGATTCAATATTTACGGGCACTCCGTTTCCTATACATTAATAATTTCTGATAGCAAAAATTAAAGAAAACTAAACTAAGAAACCGAATGACCGTAAATATTGAGCAGCCTGTAATAAGAAATCAAAATCATGAAAACTAAAAAGCATTCAAGAAACAAATGAAAGCGTTTGCAGGTTAATAAATAAGAATAAAATGTACGAAAGAAAGTGAAAGCGGTCAAGAAACGCAAATGATTTTGCGCAATAGTAGAAATAGCTCAACTTTTGTAGGGGAATTTTAAGCTATTCAGTGCTTTTGACTGAATAACTTTAAATTTTCCCAAAAAGTTTGGGTAGAGGCTAATTTCCGCAATTTGTTTTGCGCAAGAGGGTCATTTGCGTAACTGGGTCGTTGCGCAACTCGCCATAACTTTCTTCTAAGTAAGCCAATCTTTATGTTTTTGGTTTCATTTTGTAGATCTCAATAAGTGCAACAAAATGAAACCAAAAACATAAAGATTGGTCGACTTAGAAGAAAGTTATGGCGAGTTGCACAAACGACCCAGTTGCGCAAATGACCCTGTTGTGAGAAAAAAACAAATTGCGGAAATTAGCCTACCCCCAAAATTTGCATGATTAAATTAAAATTTACATAAAAGTTCGCAAATTCACAATTTGCATTTGAATTGAGTACATAAAACTCTATTTATTGAGTAAATAAACTTTACTTTATTTTTACTATCGAGGTTAAATTCAATTCTTTCTTTGTTAAAGCGGTGCTATAAAAGTTATTTACTAAAGTGGCTTATTTACTAAGGAGTTTTCTACTAACTAGATTTCACTCTATGTATTATTAAGTAGTTTGTCGGGAGTTTTCAAAACCGATTTACTAAAGAGTTTTCTACTAACGACTTTTGATTGTATTATAATGATACTTTATTCAGATGATAAAGTGAAACCCAATAAATCATAGAGAAATGCACAGCGAGTCATAAATGTAGAGTCAAAAGAAAGGTACGAAGATACAAGATAGAGTGAAAATGCAAATAATCAGATTAGATAGAGAGAGCCGTTAGATCTAGAACCTCTATTTGTTTCTTGAAAATGGAAAGTCACTGAATTTCTCACATTTATTGGGTTGGTGAATTGAAAACTGCGGGACTTTGAACTAAAATTTATTCAACATAAAACCATCACTCATTCCAAATAATTTCCATTATTATTGACGACTTCTGCCCATTTTACAGGCAATTTGCGGATTCCTGGAAAGTAAATCAGCAAAGTTACAATATAAAAAAGGTAAAGAAAGAAAATGAAAGCTGAAGGCGGAAGATCGATTTATTTGTGCATCCCCGATTGGGGACGCGTTCCAAAATTCTCTCGAGAGACACTGTTGAGAGGTCTCGGGGTTAATGCTAACCTCAAACTTGGGTAAGTAAACCGATGGTGGGGTCTCTGTCGCTCTTAAAATGACTTTGAACTAAAATTTATTCAACATAAAACCATGAATTCATTCCAAATAATTTCCATTATTATTGACGACTTCTGCCCATTTTACACGCAATTTGCGGATTCCTCTTTCGTAGTAGGATTTTGGTTTGTGTGTGAGACAAGTGTGAGACTCAAAAATGGAGGACTGGAGATGTCCCAGTTTGAGCATTTGAGCACTTTCTTCAAAAGAAACCCATTTTGGTGTCAATAGAAAAGTTGTAGAGAATCAAAAATGAGGCTTATAGCCAAATTTCCAAAAAGATACACTCAGTAGTTTCGCTTAAAATGCAAATTTTGTGAAAATTCGTAAATTTCGCATTTCTTGAAAACCAGTTTTTGAATCGTTCTGAAAATCTCGAGATAAGCTTCGTTTTTGATTCTCTACAACTTTTCCATTCACCCCAAAATGGGTTTCTTTTGAAGAAAGTGCTCGAGCTGTCACATATGACAATAGCCGGCAGTTTTCAATTTACCAACCCAATAATTTGAGAGCAATTTCCATAAACTAGCGGCTCTAACGGGAAATGAGTTTGTTAAAGAAGCGCTAAATGCAAAGGGAATCTGCAAAAGGAATGAACTACTTCTGAGCTCCGATCTTGGGTTAAATTTGAAAAAGTCTACAAAAAAAGGGCTAATCTGTTTGCAACGCAGGATTTGGAAAGTTTCGACTAGATCAATGACAAAGCGACGATGTTGTAAAGTTTTACCTACAACCTACAAGAGAGAGAGCCGTTAGGTCTAGAGCCTCTATTTGTTTCTTGAAAATGGAAAGCGATTGAATTTCTCGTAGGTAATTTGGGAGCAATTTCCATCAACTAGCGGCTCTAACGGGAAATCCACTATGCAACTTCACTCCACTCAATTTTTAACGGCTCTGCGGGAATCTTTTGAAATCCTCTCTGAACAAGTACGATTTCTATAAATCCCAGAACATCTTTGATTTCAAAAGCACAAATCACTATGTTTTTTTAATTCTCTAAAAGTCATCCTTGGAATTTTTGATTTCGGATTTTTGTACCAAATCTGTGATCATTAACAAATCTCTAGAGACTTTAGAAAAATTTCCTCAAAAAAAGAAACCCTCTAATTACCCTAAAATGTTCAATTTTTGAAGGGAAAACGAGTAAATTTGACTCTTTTTTCTTTTGAAAATATGAATTCCGAGTTTCAAACTCGATTTGTTTATTTGAGTTGTTTTCTCGGATTCACCACTAACAGCTTTTTACTTTATTTTATTCTAACAGATAAATCGGTAGGTGAAAATATTAGATATCGTATCGTATCGTAAAAGGTTGGTCATTTTTTGAACCTTTTAGAAGAATCACAATGGATATAAACGAATTTTGGGCATTATCACACTTTATAATCTCTACTATGGGCTTGTGCATGCTGTCACGGATATGGTCAGCATTTTAATGAGAATTTTTGAGAAAAAAAAGCTTTTAAGTGGCGGATAACCGTCAAGTATCGATTTTCTAATGCGGCAATTCTTAATTTGAAATCAAAAAACAAGTCTACACAAAAAAAATTAAGTTAACATTCAGGGATTTCTTCTCGAAAAAGACGGTTTCGTTATGTTCAGCAAACGGATGCAATCATATGGTTTTTGGGCCTCCTATTTGGCAACAATGGTTCACTTTTAACTGGCTTAGGCTAGACTAGACTTACCCTAGGCCTAGGCCAGGCTTAGGCTAGACTTAGGCCAGGCTTAGGCTAGACTTAGGCTAGACTTAGGCTAAACTTAGGCCAGGCTTAGGCTTGGCGGTTTGGCTTAGGCTTGGCTTAAGCCAGGGTTGGGCCAGACTTAGGTCAGACTTAGGCCAGACTTAGGCCAGGATTAGGTCAGGTTTAGGCTAGGCTTAGGCTAGACTTAGGCCAGGCTTGGCCAGCCTTAGACCAGGCTTAGGCCAGGCTTAGGCCAGGCTTAGGCCAGGCTTAGGCCAGGCTTAGGCCAGGCTTAGGCCAAGCTTAGGCCAAGCTTAGACCAGGCTTAGGCCAGGCTTAGGCCAGGTTTAAGCCAGGTTTAGACCAGGCTTGGGCCAGGCTTAGGCCAGGATTAGGCCAGGTTTAGGCCAGGTTTAAGATAGGTTTAGGCCAAGCTTAGGCCAAGCTTAGACCAGGCTTAGGCCAGGCTTAGGCCAGGTTTAAGCCAGGTTTAGACCAGGCTTGGGCCAGGCTTAGGCCAGGATTAGGCCAGGTTTAGGCCAGGTTTAAGATAGGTTTAGGCCAGGCTTAGGCCTGGCTTAACCTCAGATTTTAAGCTGAATGAATGAATAAATGTAGCATGAATGCAAGCTTTTTTCTCATTAAAAGATTTTAAACCGTGAAAACTTTTCTAGGTGTACGTTGATTCATTCATTATATCAATTTCTCTTCTCGCCATTCACGGTCTCTATCGATTTGTCAAAATCACAAAGTATTCCAAGAAAGATTTTAAAAACTGAAATCCTTCAGCAAATGGACTTATCTATTTGATCGTTGGTCTTATCTATCCGCCATCGTTGTTGCTCATTTTTTGTCTGGAGTTCTCTGGCTTCTCTTTTGTCAATTGTCAATGAATGTAAGCTTATTGTTTTATCAAGTAAAACATCTCATAAAGTATTAAAACTACATTTATATATAATCTGAACTAATTTTTTAGCCATCACCGGAAAGAAATCGTGTGAGTCGCGAGAATCTGCTGAGAAAGTACAATGTGAGCATCGAGAATCTCGGATATTTAGGGCCACTTTATATGGTAAACAAATGTTAAACGAGAGAAAAGTGGAAACCATTCAGCAAATCTGTTATCAAAATCTGTAGATAACGAATGATAATGGAAACACGAAAATACTGTGGAAAAATCTCGTCGGGAGTATTGGATGTCTCGGCCTGCTCGGTGTTTTTTATACAGCCATTTGTCTATTCGGATTAAAGCTGTAAGTTTAAAAATTTTGAATTAAAGCATAAAGAGTATCTCATTTCTGGTTTAGTTTTTGTGCACTTCCTTCTCTTTCTTCTTTTCTCTTTCTTGTCTTTCCTATTTCTTCTGGGGCAAAGAAGGCGCCGATAGCTCAGTGGTAGAGCATTGGCCCGTAAACAGAAGGTCGGAAGTTCCAAATTCTTTGCCATTCATTTCTTTATTTTATGACTCGTCCAGGGATATCCTAATCGGATTCGGATTCGGATTCGGATTTGGATTTGGATTTAGATTCGGATTTGAATTCGGATTCGGATTTGGATTTGGATTCGGATTTGGATTCGGAATCCAAGGTTATCCTAACCCAGGTGATGCCAAACAAAGCTAAAGCCAAGCCAAGACTGGCTTCTAAAGAGTTTCAATCCTTTTATGACTTGCAGTAAAGCCAGGTCGCTCTTACGGACTTGCCTAGTCTGACTTCTCAAGGGAAATGGTTCTAGAGCAACCTCATATAATTGTTGCTTTGATTCTGAATTTGAATGCTCTAGAAAGATGTGTTTACCTGCTAGCCTTTATCTTCAATTCAATCATTATTCAGCTTCCTTTTCATTCGCTCATCGCTCGTCAGCGAGCGAACGAAACGAATGAATTATCAATTGATGCGATTGTTTCTCATTCAGGTAGATGTTTACAATTACCGTATTTACTCTAATAAAAGCCCCCCCTCTAATAAAAGCCCCCCCCCTCTAATAAACGCCCCCCTTTGAGGGGTATCGAAAAAATAAACGCCCCCCCTCCAATAAACGCCCCCCCCCCAAGTACGAAAATTTACAAACTACATAGGAATAGCGACTTTTTTTTGATAATTTTTTGGTTTCTCTTTTAAACTTTCTAAGTAATCATTTTTACGTTTTGTTGATTTGCCGTATACTTTTGAAGTACCGCCCCCAAGTGTCCCCAAAAAAGTTCCCCCAAAGTGTCCCCATATGGGAACTCTTTTTGATACTGAAATGCTTCGTTTTCTTTTTTTCTCTAGAGCTTTTTTAAAATTCTGTTACAGACGAAATTGTTTAAACTCTCCATATTAGATTTTCTCTTTGGGGACAGTTTGGGGAAACTTTTTGGGGACACTTGGGGGCGGTACTTCAAAAGTATAAATTGTTGAAATAATTTTTTTTAGTTGGACTTCATGGATGTACTCGCCGATTTTCGAAATCTTCATGAAGATGAAATGGAAGGATTCTGCGAAGCGGGTCGGAAACATTTCGACAAACGATCCGATTCACGTGAAAGTTTGAACGATCCCGCCGACGACAATCCAATCCACAACGAAACAACGATTGGAAAACGACCGAGAAGAACATTGGACGCGAAGACGAAACTCGAGGTTGCTAAGATGACGAGAGATGTTTCCATTCACTCGGCGGCGAAATTCTACTGCATCGATCGCAAAGTGGTCAAGCGATGCCTGAAAAAAAAAAGAAGAGCTGGAAGAGCTTCATGGGAAAAGGAAACGATTGGATGGAGGAGGCCGCCACCTGAATTCGGCTGATGTCGACGAAGCTTTGGCAATTTGGGTGCGGAAACAACGGGCTGAAAAAAAGAGGGTCACTCGTCGGATACTCTTCAACTTCATACTCAAAAAATATATTCGACATCAATATGAAGATTGGATCCTATCAACGGCACCCGAATTGACGAAATCGAAAGCTGATGGATCTGGTGGTGGTAACCCCAAACCTCCTGCAATGGATGTTTATCTGGAATGGATTGCTTCGTCTTGGGAAAAACTATCTTCAGAAATGATTGCCGAGTCATTTAAAATCTGCGGAGTAGGAATTGATCAGGATGGAAAAGAAGATCATCTTATTCACTGCTTCCGCTCAGATGGCCCGATACCTTCCGGATTTAAAGCAATTCAGAGTGCCCGATTGGATAAGGAAATCGATAAAATTTTAGTCCCAAGCATCGAATCAGCAAATTTTCGTGAGCCTAGACAAGAGGCTGAATACGATTCTGATACATCAATTGCTTGAAATGCTGTTTTTCTTACATTCTTAGTTTCTGTTAATTTTTGTTGTTGAAATAAATAAATAATTCGATAAAAGTGACTTATGATCTCGAATGCTTTATTTGCACTACTATTTTTTTTATCGTTGAATCAACGTCAATTATGTGTCTAAGTACGCCTGCAGAGGGCTATCGAAAAATAAAAGCCCCCCTCCAATAAACCCCCCTCTAATAAACGCCCCCCCTTGAGGGGTATCGAAAAAATAAACGCCCCGGGGCTTTTAATAGAGTAAATACAGTAGCTTATTTATTTTGAAAATTAAATTCTTCTGTTCTATAAATTGTTATTGAAGTGTTCTTTCAGGCGGTTGTGCCTCTCTTCTTTGAATATGTTCCTTGTTTCACTAATGTTGCAGCTGGACCCCTAGGTTTGCTGGAAACTTTCAAGTTTTAAACATTTTTAAACATTGATTACTCAAATCACCAAATAAATCTTATTTTAGACTTTCCATATTACGAAGAGATTGGCTATTATCAACCGATCTTTGTCTCATTGTATCCATTCATCGATTCAACGATGGTTTTCGTTGGGTTCAGGGTTTGTTGGCCATACTAGTTCAGAGTAGTTCCGTAGTTTTAGTTCCGTATTTCGAGTACTCACATTTTCCTCCTCAAATCCAGCTTGATTTCAGGATTACCGTAATCGTATCCTTTCCTCGAAGCCCATTCAATCTCTTCGAAATCTCAAACGTTCACGAATTTTCACTTCAAGATCCGGCTCACAATTCCAAAATTAATTTCAATTTGTTGAAAATGCTTCATTTGTCCCAAAAAAGAACAGAAATTCTTGGATTTTCAATGAAAAATCGATTTTGGTCTTACGAATTAGCAAAAGCAAAGGTAATAGCAAAGGCAAAAGCAAAGGCAAAAGCGAATTAGCAAAGGCGGTTATTTTATTATGAAGTTGTAAACGAATCTCGAAGCTTTTATTCACAAAAAGTTGCATAAAAGGCAAAAAAAATAATGAGATTTCCCGGAAAGTAAGCATTTTCTGAACAAAAGTCAGATCAGAAATCATTAAAAACCATATTAAAGTATTTAAAAGTCGTAATTTTTCGTTATGAGGGCCCATTTCTCATTTCTTTCTCATTATGAGTCCCATATTACCATACATGTATTTACATTTAAAAGTAGCACAAAGAACACTTTCTTTTAAGTTAGTTGACTGAGTTTATGATGCGAAAAGAAGTTGGAGAGACGATTGTATCTTGTCTAGAGTGTGTTCCTCTCAAGAAATAGTGTGAAATAGGAAACGGGTTACGGCAGAAATCAACTGAATATCTTGAATATCTTGAATATCTTGAATATCTTCTACGATTTGCAAGAGCTTCAGTTTATTTTAAATACACCCGTTTCCTATTCTATACGATTTTTTTGAGAGGAAAGACACTCGACTCTTGTCTCTTATTTCAAGTGCTTATCCGTCTTAAAGTTTTCAAGCCACTGCAGTGCCAGTGCCAATGCAAATGTTTTGTGATTTACATATAAAGTCTTCTTTTCAATTCAAAAAAAATTGGCCTTCATAAAACGGAAATGAGCAATGAAATGAGCAATGAATTTAGGTAAATCTCTATGTATGGATTTGGGCTTTTATAACAGAGCAAAAAGGGTACTTTTCCATTATAAGAATCCATTTCTGCATGGATTTGAGCTTTTATAACAGAGCAAAAAGGGTACTTTTCCGTTATGAGAAACCATTTCTGCATGGATTTGGGCCGGCATAACAAAGCCAAAAGGGTACTTTTCCACTATGAGAAATCAATTCTAATAATGGAAAAGTACTTTAAAAACGATAAAACTATAAAACAATAAAACTATAGAAACTAAAACTTAAAAACGATATAATTCTATGATTTCTCACAAACACCCTCGACAATCACTCAATTAAGCACGAAAATCGTTGACACTGAAAGAAAAATTGCTATTGAAAGAATATGTTTTTACTAACCTGTAACTTTACTACTAGCCCTTGTATATCGACTTTTCAAATATCGACGATATTCTGGATTCAAATAGAAAACAACTACCATACTGAGTGGACTTTGACAAACAGTGAATAGACAAGCGAGATCGTTGAGAACTGAAAACAAAATGAATCTAGGCGTCTAAAATTTTGGAAAAAGCTCAACAGCTCACAGAAAAGCTCAAGCACTTTGACTTTGTAACATTTGAAAATTCAACTCTGACATCTATTCAACTCTGACATTTCTCCATTCAGCCAAATGAAGAAAGGCTGAGACGTACTTTGTACTCAAAAAATGAAAACGCAATCCTTCTAGCACACTCAATTATGTGATAGACTGAGTTGAATGTGCGCAAGGGTGGGAAAAATATCCGTGTTTTCAGTTCCCAGCAGATGATTGCGAATTCGGATTAGACAAACAGATAGCTGTTATTTCAATCCAGTGTTGGTTTATTGGTTAGCTTGTTTCTACTCTCCTTACTAGTCTAATTGTGAGCACACAGTACACCTAATTGTGAGCACAAAGTTTTCAGTTGCAAGCAGATAATTGCGAATTTGGCTACGGATTAGACAAACAGCTAGCTGTTATTTAAATCCAGTGTTGCTTTTCTACTCTCCTTACTAGTCTAATTGTGAGCAAAAAGTCCACCTAACTTAGCCTATTTTATAGCAAACATTTCGTTGTTTCCGAATATCTAAATTTGGGTGTAATGAGTTCAAATTTTTCATTTAAATCCGTTTGAAGTTTGTGTGCAAAAATCAGTTTTTATCGCGAGTATCAAGCGATTTTGAGCGCTCTGAAGATATGTCGTTAGGGCCAAGTGGTAACTGCGCTAGGCTGTGGTTTTGTTGGCCGTGGTTCGAGCCCGAACTTCGATAAAACTTTTACTTTTTAGGCTAAATTCCACTTCGAAACCTGGTGTTAAATAAACAACGATCGAGTAGTCGAAGAAAGTAAGTAAACGATCGAACGAGTATTTGACGACTCACCCTGTCCATAAACGAACTCGATATTGAGAATCATCGACGAGATCAGCCAGCAAGTCGGCATTAAATAGCAAATGATACATGGAGAGATCTATTTTCGTTCAGTTTCAATCTTATTCTCAAGTTCACCTGTAACTGTACGCCAATCAAATACTGTTTCACTTGTCGGGCACTCTGAATTGAGATCAGTTTCGAGTAGATTTGAAAGACCATAATTGATGAAGAGAACAGAATCCATACGTTTGAGAGAACTACCATAAAACAGGTGAGCAACAGGAACGAGTGTCCATAGAATTTCGTGGTGTCGATGAGGAAAAGGGATTTAGCTGTATCTGGGGAGTGAAGGCTCGGGAATTGGAGATCTGTCTGCAAATTTACAGAGTAGAAAGTAGCCCAGCTATCGTAACCCTTTCCCAATAAATATTTGCTTTTCCTTTTTCTATGCGTTCAATTTTTATGGATTACTTTCGAGTTACTGTAGCTTATAACTGGTTAAGGGTTACGGCAACCATGTGCTAAACCGCCAATCCAAACTCATGGAATTTTGGATTCAAAAGCCGTGCTTCTAAAAGCTTATAAAATGTCACTGACGGGTTACTGTAAGATAGACTTCAATCTTTACTGTAACGTATAACTGGATATGGTAACCGAGTCACGTTTTCCCTCCAATCCAAGGCATCGTTTGGAAAAAATAAAATCTACTGCTTGTAAAGTTGTTAAAGGTTCCAGTTATGATTCCAATTATGGTTCCTTAAATTCAACAAAAATTTGTGGTCGAGTGAATGCCGGCGGATAGGGTTTTGTTTTCTGAGAGAGCTTTGCGGGCTTTTTGTCTCGATGGGGGATCCCAAACAGGGGGAATCCCATCACATCGAGTTCACTCGAAGAGTCACATTTTTGGGGAAATATTTCAGCAGATAACCCGACGACTCCGGACCACGAAAAGGAGAAAATCGAAAGGAATTCATATACCCAGAGATATTCGAATGTGATAGAAAGTGAGCGATTGGGGTTGGGGGAAATGGGGAAACGGGGAGTGAACGCACAGAGAGAGCTTTTTTCGGGCTTTTTTTTTGAGGAGATGAGTCATAGATGAGCGATGGGAAAGAGTTCTCTTTGATGAAATGAATAGTTTTACAGTGTTTACACTATTTACTGTTGAAACAAACGACTCTTGTTCGTTATCCGTGGTTTGAAACTCTTTGAAGATTCATAACTTTGTTTAGCGCTAGTATTATCGTTAACTTTATCTATTGGGTTTGACGAAAAGTTCGTGCGGTTTTTTTGGTCAAACTCAATCAATTTAGACGTGTAATAGCTCGTTCGAAAGCTAATTTTCAAAGCGGATTCAATAGAAAAAAAGCTGCTCATTGATTCATTGCGTTTTAAATTTTTTACAGCTTTACAGAGGTTTTGGTAGAGATTTTAAGGGATCGAGGTTTTTGGGACACTTTTGTGACGACCGATGAAAAATGGATTTACTACGATAACCCATCACGAAAGCCGCAGTGGTTAAGTCCAGGAGAACAGCCAAAAAACGACGCCACAACGTGATCCGGATGCAAGTAAGGCTATGTTATCTGTTTGATGGAATTTCCGTGGTCTGATACACTTTGAGGTTCTACCTTCTCTTCCAACAGTCACCTCAGATCTATATGTGCAACAGATAGAACGAGTAGACCAGACTCTCAAGAATCCAGGTGTAAGCACATCGACTGTGAGATATCTGCAAGATAACGCGCGCCCACACACAGCAAAGAAGACGCAGGAAAAACTCGAGGATATTGGGTTGGGAATGTCTCCCGCATCCGCCGTATAGTCCAGATCTGGCCCCCTAGACTACCACTTACTTCGATCTATCTATAGTGCTGCCACTTCCTGACCGATAAACACTTCAAGGATCACGACGAAGTCCGAATTTGGATAGGCCAATACTTCGACTCGCAGCCTCAGGATTTCTTCAGCAAAGGGATCCGAGATTTGAAAGAAAAATGGAGAAAGACTATTGCCAACAACGGAGAATATCTTTTGGATGATTGTTTTCTTTTTGTGGAGATAAATTTGTTCTTCATTAAAAGGGGATTTTCATTCCGGACAACCTAATAGCTTACAATTACCCTAAAAACAGTGCCATTGGCCAATTCAATTTTTACCTTCAAAAACTCTCTCGCATTCTCCATTCCATTTTGTTCTTCTCGAATTAAAACCTGATTTCCAATAACCAAAAGCGAAAGTGAAAAATAGAGAATTCCAATAAATATCACAAAAGTTTTCCTCTTCATTTTAAACGGCGATCCATAAAGGAGAATGCTGTTCGCTCGGAAAGCGGCCAATTGTCCGCAAGAAGTCAACAATAAAGCATTGATGACAACGAAACAGAACATCAAAAATGGAAATTTTTTGGAAAAAAAGTTCAGTTTAAAGTCTAACTTGTTGATAGAAAGTGTCTACATTGAAGAGATTTGTGAGTAGTCCGTACACTGATCCCAAATAACGTGGTGCATGGATCTTCGGCATACACCAAACGCACATGTAAAACTCGAAAAAGGCACCGATGAACTGAATCAGAATTTTTCACTTCTTCTAACTTTGTTTACTTGTTTTTTTACTTATCCAATGAAACTTGCCGTTAACATAAACTTGACTCTGTTTTTTTTGGTCGTTTACCAAGTTACCAAGTTACCAAGTACAGGGTGCGTCATAATTATTGCAACAAGATACTCAAGGCATTGCACACCAAGAAGTTTCACTGGAAGAAGATTTTTTAAACAGAAATAGCTTTAT